TGGAGGGGGTGACAGATTTGGAAATAAATCAAGGAATTTCGAATTTCTAACATGTTCGCTCTCCCCTTCCTCCTCACCCCCGGTCCTTTTCATAGCTTTAATTTTTTCCCTCAGACTTAGAATTGAATGCCAGTGGCGTATATTTCTTTCTGCTGATGTGTAGGCTATTGTGAAGTCACAGATTTAATCTGAGGCGCAAAGTGTGGGTAGGTAAGGGACCCCTCTTGATAGGTATTGGGGAAGGGGGTCAAAGGGAGCATTTTTGCAAGCTCGAAGACATCTAGGATTGTAATTTGACCAGTGAAAATGATATTGTAAACATATTTTCAGTTTATATCATGAAATGAAGACCACTTAAGGACCCTCTATACACTAGAGGAAAAGATTTTTTGGACATTGAGAAAATTATAGTGTGAAAAGGTGGAAATATTGAGCTCATCTATCAAATTTTCAACAGAGGGTACCTTGCATTTACCCCCAGGAAAAATGTTCAAAAACAATGAAGTACTGATGAACAGAAATCACTGTTGTTTACTTAAGTGAGCAAAATATCTGCAAATGAAGTGATCAATCTATTCATCTTGGCCTATTAAAATGTCATTGCTTGATTTGATTACAAATTAAGTAATAAACTGTATATTTCAATTTATTTTATTCTTGATCAAAGGGCAAATTACTCTTTATGCATAAAATACCATAAAATCAGAACGCTTTAGTGTGCAGTGTATAGAGGGCTCTTAACAAAAATGAGAACTCTTATTCTTTTACTCTGCTTAGAAAATATGGAAACTTCCTTACTGAATAATCGAAATACGACCAATACGTTTAACTTCCTACTAACCAAAAATATTTCCAGTTATCAATTTCATTCCCTGCACTAATCCTGTTGCTGTGAATGGTTTTGAAATTGTCTGATAAGATTTAATATAACACTTGAATTTCGGCTTAAAAAAGAAAACTGTAAACATTTACATTGTATATAGGTATAAAAGTGCAGATTTCTAAGAATGCTTTTTTGGCATTTGCAAGAAACAGACAAAATAATATTATAATAGATAAGATTTACTATCAACTCCCCTTTCCCATTTTTTCAACTAAATTTTTATCCCTGACGAAATGATGTGTAGGCTACAGCCTTTTTGCCTATATGGAATATAAGCCATTGAATGCTTATTTCAAGTGTTTTACGATTCACAGACTTTGTCTCTATAACGTTACATAGCTTAAGAAGGAAGTCTATGCACAACAGAGGCAACTTTGTAACAATTTTTAAACCACAATTTGCATGGCTTTTTTTTTTTAATTGAATGGTTCTATTGCTTAATTGAATGATTTTAATTTTCCCAGAAGCATGGCTAGGGTTTGTAATAAGGTGAACAGTTACTTAAATTACACTGATGGCCCAACGGTTAATCATTTAACACTATCCATTCAAAAACATTAAGTGGAAATCTATGGTTAGTAGAGTAGAACCACGCAAGAAGTAAAGGTTACATGTAGGGTTTTATAACACTACGCATTTGAAAGAAACACCAAACGAACATGCAATGCAATGAGAAAATATGACATACCGGGTAATGCGTAGAACAAAGAGGGAGTCATGATGCAAGTGCATTTTGACTAACATTCAACGCGGCGACACGATGTCTGAAGAGGACAAAATAAAAAAAAAATACAGAATTTAAGTAAACTGAATGCATACAAGGGAAGGGGATAGTGAATGTCAAACCCTAATTATATACTTTTGTGAAATAAAGAATATTTTATAGACCCCCTCTCTGCATGTGAATAATTTTGGGCATCAGCCGCACATCTACTTTTCATAACGGTACAACAAAAATATTCAACTCGGATTTCAAGCTGACATATCATGTTCCTTGCGTGTTAGTAAGCATATAAATATTGTTCTTCAAGCATATTAAATTAAATGCGCAAACAAATAATGCAATGATCAAATTGTGAACTGGGAATCAATATTTTCTGTTGTGTAAAGTTATCGCCCTTTTAATTCTAAATTACATTAATTTTTTTGCAAAATAAATAATTCTATTAAATCCAATTTAAAGTAAAAAGATCAAGAATAAACATTTTATAATTTCTTTTAAAATAACAATAAGAATTTTCTCTTTGTTATAGAATAAGTTTTTTTCTATTATTTTTTATTATAAATAAAGTACGAAACATCTATGTATTATGCATATATATAGTATATTTCCCAAGACCACAGAATCAGACGGACAATAAATAAATAAAGAGAGGGAGAAACAGACTTAGTGGGGCGTCAGAGATTGAGAGAGGGGTGAGAGAGAGAGGGGAGAGGGGGAGAGAGAGGAGTGGAGAGAGAGAGAGGGGGGAGAGAAAGGAAGGGGAGAGTGGGAGAGATAGAGTGGGAGGGGGAGAGAGGGTAGTGTGAGATAGGGGGAGGGGCAGAGAGAGGGAGAGTAAATGGGGAATGAGGGGGAGTGATACATAGAGGTGGGAGCGAGAGGATGTGGAGAGAGAGACGAGAGGGTGGGAGATGATTGAGAGAGGGGGAAAGAGAGGTGGGAGAGAGAGAGGGAAAAGGAAGGGAGAAAAGGGATTGATTGTATGTTGTTTAACGTCCCTCTCGAGAATTTTTCACTCATATGGAGACGCCACCATTGCCGGTGGAGAGCTGCAAATTTTGTCCTATACTCGGCACTTACGGCCATTGAGCAGTGAGGGATCTTTTTCGTGCCAGCACCTACTGCGACACGGGACCTCAGTTTATACGGTCTCATCCGAAGGACCGGCCTCCACGTCCCACAGTGGGATTCGAACCCGCGACGTAAGGATCAACTCCTTACTTCGCGACTCTAGAGCAGACGCTCTAACCACTGCGCCACGCGAGCGACGAGAAGAGGTAGAAACTGATAAGCGGAAACAGCATCTTCCTCCCCACAACAAAACCCTCCGAGTTACGACTTCAGATTTCATAATTTTGAAAGAGGCGTATTTTTTTCCCCATTTTCTCAAAGAACTTTTCTCAAAGAACCACAGGGCTAATTTCAACCAAACTTGCCACAAAGTAACCTTAGATGATGTGAATTCAAGTTTATTCAAACGAAGCGCCCAAGCCCTCTTTCAAGGGGAGATGATACAGAAATAGTGAAAATTTGATGGCATCTTTTAAAATCTTCTCAAGAACACTGGGCCAAAAAAATTCAAACTTATAAGATACCTTCTTTACACAGTATACCTTCGGGGATAGGGTGCGCTCACAATGGGGGATCAAAGTTTTACATAGGAATATATATAGAAGAAAATATTTAAACATCTTCTCAAGAACAGCAAAGCAAGGATGTCATATAAATATGGAAACATCCTCAGGTAGAATAGATTGAAATTTGTTCAAATGATGTTCTCTGGGGGTAGGATGGGGCCACAAAAAGGGATCAAAGTTTTACAGAAGAATATATAGATTAAATTAGATCTCCTTCTTAAAACAGCAAAGCCATGATTAGTCATATTGATATAATGAAGCATCCTCAGGTAGTGTAGAGTCCAGATTCAAGTTTGTTCAAATAATAACTCCTGGGGGTAAGGCGGGGCCACAATGGCGGATCAAAGTTTTACATTATATATATATATATATATATATATATATATATATATATATATATATATATATATATATATATATATATATATAAAAGAATAAAAAAACAGAAAAGCCATGATTAGTCATATTAATATGGAAGCATCCCCAGGTAGTGAACATTCAACCACCCTCTCTATACAGTTATCTGTATTGTTTTATATAAATATACAACCAGCACCTAACAGGAAATCCATTTCCGCTTGAGGGTCCCGACCCCCCCCCCCCCCCCAAAAAAAAAACCCCTAAATCAAAATAAAACAAAAAGATCTAATATCTTATCGACAGGTCCAACATGTCACCCAGCGGTTCAACATTGAATTTTGGGACCGCTCATTAAAGCATTGGAAATGATAGACTTTTTAAGTAAAGACTTGTATTAGACACAATTAATTGGGATTAAACATAATGATTATGAAAACTTTAATCAGCCACGAGTAATACATGTACCTTTTTGACGGTTTATCTTAGACGAAAGACATTTTTAAATACTTGAGAAAAGCAATGTAAAACACTCAGTCATTAAGGTTCTGAAAATTGTTATATTGACCATTAAACTGTTGATTCTTTAATCCTACATTTGCAGATTGATATAGTCTTGCTTATATGCTGACTGAGTGATATTTTTAGCCTTGTTTTGGCAATAGGAAGAGAGACTGATACATTCTAGTATCCTTTATACTATATAGTAGGTTAGTAAACCTTTTATTGAACAAAACATTTTTTGTGTGTGCTGGGGAGAAGGACATATTAAGTTTGAAATCGTCAACTGTTGGCTAATCAAAAACGTGTAAATTATGCAGATTCCACGAATAATGTTTGAATGGACATAGATTAACAAATAGATCGATAAAGAACGATAAATCGGACTATCAGTAAGCTTCTCACATTATAATTGGCGCGTCCATCTTTAATTAGTATCCATGAAAAGTATTTCCTCTCGAACTGGTCAATTGCATTGAATTCCAGTTCTACCAATTTGAAAGTAAACATAATACAACTTATGCGAAAAGATAACTTGTCTCAGTCAACCATATCTTATTTGACATGTCTTTATATCAAAAGAGGGAATATTTTAAGATTAATGGGATGTTTATATGAAAGACAGATGTATAACTTTAATACAAGTAGCATCGATCCTTTTCCAAGACTCAGGAAAATTTAATCTGCAAGATAAATTACAGGCAATATCATTGTGACATGTTTGCATTTCTGTAATTAAGAATGTCCTTTCTACATTTGTCGAGAAGTCAGAATGTTCTTGATTAAAATGACGCAATTTCTACGCCCATTTGAAAATAATAAAAACGAAACCATCACTCAGAGAAATTCATCAACGTTTTTGACGTTCGTTGAATCTTTCACAAAAGGACAAATCAAAATGAATGTTACGGTGAACATAACAAACAACGACAAAAGTCTCAAGTCCTATGATTTTTCAATTTTTGCACGGTTGTGTGGACATACTGGTCAAAGCACCAACAGTTCGAACGATTCTTTTATTTTACGACTACAGAGTATATGCAATTCCCCTCTGTATAGTATAACCATAGATCGCAAAAACATTTTACCCACCCCGTTACCCAAATCCACAGTGGAAGTGTTCATGGTGCTCTATCTATTGATTATAATTTTGGCAGTGTTTGGCAATTCGTTGGTGCTTGGATTTATTGGTGTGGTGAAGAAAGCCCGGACTTTGACAGATATTTACATTGTATCGCTAGCAAGCAGTGATCTACTGATTGCAGCATTGAACATGCCGTTTCAGCTGTACTATGTGGTAGCCAATGACTGGGTGGCAAGTGGTAATTTTGGTCTCTTTCTCTGCAAGTTCACGACGTATATTGAAGGTGTGACGGTCGTAGCCAGCATTCTTACGCTGCTTTTTATTGCAATTGACAGGTATTACATTTGTTATTGGAATCCTATAAGCTTAACAATTGTATAGACCAGCACATTGGAATTTTATAAATAACAGTCATTTTTAAGCTCTAACTAGACAGAAACTGATGGTACCCTGTCTAGTAAAAGCTTGTCCATCGTCTAATTAGTTAAAACACCTACATTTTCAGTTTTTCCAAAAAAAATATTACGTGAAGAATTTCAACCAAACCAATAAACTTGGGTCTAAACATCCTAGATGAAAGGAGTTCTAGATTGTTTTCTTCAAATTAATGACCATGCACCCCCTTAAATAAAAAAAAAAAGATGCATTCTACAATCAGAGGGTCACAGAAGATTTACATGTACGTAAATACTTTAATAAGAAATGTAAATTCCAACCCTAGTGCAAGGTTTGGGTGAAAACAAAGGTCAAAGTTTTACAATGGAATACGAATAGGAAATTCTTAACAATGAAATTCTCTGCTCAAAAGGCAAGGTTGTAAATAGTTTATTTAATGATTATATACAGATATTTACATTAAGGGCAGGAAGAATTTTGTTCTTGTGACACGCTACAAGATCGGAGTCACAATAGAGGTCAACATTTTTCGTACAAGTGTGTAAGTAATTTACTTTATATATAGGATAGACATTATAACAATTTTGAATGAAAACAAAATATTGATTATATCAGAAAAAAAAATTCCATTTCAAACACAGACTTCTTTTCTAAATTTCTAAAAGATAGTGTGTCGCTCAGAACAAAGAAGTGGGATGATCAGGTATCAATTAAATAGTTGGTCTGGTAATAAGCAAGGCTAACAACTCTGAAAGTAAATCTCTTTACTTTCCTGTATGTGCCAGTGCTATCTACACTTTACTACTACATAATGTTTCACCAAACTTCACAACACGATAGTTATTTAACTTAAAACACTGTATTCACATAATACTGGTATAGCGCGGTTCTCACACCATTGGCCTCTCTTGGTTTTTGAATAACATTAAATGTACAAATATAAGGTATTTTTTGTCTCAATTTTTATTCATCTATTATTTCAAAACTACCTGACCATTAAAAAACTTTTTGTATCATACTGTAAAAATTCTAGTGAAGTTCTTTTAATATCAGTAACATTAAATACAATAATTAATTAACTTATGTGAATAACTTCTCTTACAGCAAGTTAAATATTTCCATTCATGATCAAAATAGAGCCCCGCCCTAACTCCAGAACCCTTGATCATTATAACCATGCAATTCCTTTGCTTAATAACAAGGAGCAAAGAAGACGATTTAAATAAAATATTAATGCATTTTCACAAAATGATCAACAGTGTCAGCTTTATTCGAGCCCCTAACCTTGGTACTTGTTACCTTCCCTGACAAATTGTCAGTTCTATGGACGATGACTGATCACTCTATATACACGTAGTTGATCCTGTTCTATTCGGGCTATGGGCGTCTGAAGTTTATGAACTGATGAAGTGGTAACACCCACTTTCTCACCTCCTTGTTGCAGGAATGACCCAAACTCCTAGTATCTCCTTTATTTATACTTATACTAGAGTCTATTAAAGAGAGGTGTCGAGTTACTTCATTTTAAAATGGTAATTATAGTCATTAATACATTTAATTTAATAGACCAGTTTAAAAAATCACATATGTTCCTTATTTTCCTTCAAACATCCCTAGGTAGTGCAGATTCAACTTTGTACAAGTTGTGGCTCCCTAGAAGTAAAATGGGTTCACATTAAGGATATTTTTTATATACATTACATGGCAATATATATATGGACATTTTTAAAATCATCAAAATATGCATGTTGCCCTGAAAAGGTGTTGAAGTCAAAAATGATTTTAGAGATGACATTACTAGAAAGGTCTTATAAACAGATTTTGAGATTCAGTCCTATTTAATAAGCTATGAAATTTGATGCAAGCACCCCCCACGTTGTGCATGACCCCTGGGTAAGGATATGGTCGAAATACTGGATTAAGATTTCTCTGAAAGAATACACGAATATGGTCGTCTTCTTAGTTTGGGGCCTCAAGAGAGGGTCTCATGAAATATCGTTTATCAGAGAGAAAGAGCAAAGTAATTCAGGTGAGTATTTTGGCCTTTTTGTCTGTTTCATATACATCGATATGCGAAGTGTGTTCACGATATGCATTTTTGGAATACTAGTACACAAAGTTTTGTAAAATTTTACTTATAGACATGAAAGCGATTTATAAACATTAAATACTGAAGAAAGTATCTGCAAGAAAATAGGGATTTTATTTGCAAAGTAAAACTGCCATTTTCATGCAAATCGTACAGCAAATTTGTATTTTAAAAAAGCCACTCATTAGTGAAGAATTTTCTTGGAGTTTAGTTCATTTAGACAATACCTTTTACTTTAAAATTATACTACATGTACTATCATGATACTGCTCTAGATCTAAATTTGTTCTGCACTGTATCAATATTGATATAAAACATTTATCACTTACATGTACCTTATATGAACATACGTATGTAGTGCTTAAGAATGGTTATCCACAGCATGAAACTGCGCCTTTTAGTCAGCTGAATGTCCACTGACAGGTCTGTAAAGGTGGCGGTGTGGCAGAGCTCTGCCATTCAGTCACCTTTCATTAGACTCTCAGTTAACTGAATGGCATAGATTCATCCCGTGATCCTTTAAGCACATGGAATTCGGTTTTGTACATCTGCTTTCAGGTATGCTGTTATTTGTGAAATAGGGATCGCAAACGTCATCCATAACCGAAGTTCTGGTAGAATTATTGTAATCGCTCTATGGTGTATTTCGTTGTGCGTTCCGTCCCCAAATCTTATATTTCAAAAACTAGACAAAAGAGTAAATGTGAAGAATACAGATGGAGTGCTTTTAATGGATGGTTTCAAATACATTTGCGTAGAGTTTTTCCCAAACAAATACAGCAGTCGCATTTACACAGCTATGATATACACGTGTTTTTATCTCCTTCCGGTTCTGGTGATAGCTTTTAGCTACGGTCGGATCGGACACCGTCTCTGGATCCACCACCCCATCGGCGATGTCTTGGAAAATCCACGTCATCACGAGCGCAATATCAAACAGAAGAAGAGAGTGATTAAAATGCTTGTTATGCTTTTCTTGTCGTTTACCCTTTTGTGGCTTCCATTTTTCACCTTTCATCTGTACAGAGAATTTGTTGTCAATGAGAACGAGTCTTTTAGGATGAAGAGTGCCATTTTAAAATTGATTGGATATGCCAATTGCTGCGTCAATCCGATAATATACACTTTTTTAAACAAGGCTTTCCAAAATGAATTCATACGTTTATTCTGCAAAAATCGAGTATTTGTAACCTCCATGAATGGAAAAACTGAAATGGTTCGTATTACCAAGTTATGAATTAATTATTCTTCATGCGTTAATAGGACACCATCTGAACTCTAAAGAACTCTTGTGTTCATGCCCTCATACATGTATGTAACTGATTTAGTAAAAAAAAAAAAGGTACTACAATGTATCATTCATTGTTAGCGTTTTAATTAATTTAAGGGGAAAACTGCCGTTATATAACATTTATATTTCAATTTAATTTTATATTTATTTTTTGGTTTGCATAATGCATCCCTATGGGTCAAGCAGGTACATAAACAAAAAATAAATAAATATATGTCATACAAAATATATTATACTTCATGTTAATTAGTTGAATCTGATTCGACTAGAAACATTTGCTAAAAAAAACACCATCACCCGCTGAATAATGAAGCAACGCCCTCCAGCATAACAACAGTCGACATTGCTTGACGACGGGTAATATTCCAAAAAATATTGAATGAATTTATGCCCTCGAGGTTCACTGTAATATGTATTTATATAAAACATTCAGTATAACATTATAAATACTGCACGTAGTTGAGTGTAACATTGAAAACTTTCACCCCTCGAAATCCATTGTGAACTTCGGCTGCGCCTCGATTGCCAATGGTTTTCTTTGGGTGAAAATTTTCAATGTTACTCTCAACTACATGCAGTATTTATATATTTATACATTTTACTTAATTGGAAATATAGTATGATAAAAAAACTTTTGATTAATATGGGCCTCATTTTTGCAGTTCTAATGACTTCTTCATAAAGCCTCCAACTGCTGACAAAAGTTCAGATTTTGGATTTAAAATTTGTTGTAATTTACAAAGTGGCTTGTTTTAAAAAAAAGGGAAGAAAGAAAACCTAGTGTTTATGCTTCTGATTTTAGAAAATAATTGATTTATGAGTTTCTGAGAAGCAAATTTTGTTGACAGTTAAGAAAGAAATAATATTCATTATTTAATTTATTACAAATTTTACAAAGCCCATGGTCTCTTGAAAAATTTTTATGTCTACCAATTTATTGTATATGTTTTAGCAAAAGTTACATAATCTTTAGCTTCCAGTCTTATTTCCTTAAAACATTGGAAGCAAAACTATTCCAAGTTTATAAGCCATCATTATGTAGGAACTTGTAAATTAAACGTTTTACTACTTTGAATAGTGTAAAATGATATTCCATAAACCATACTCCACTGTCATATGTGTGATAAGAACATCAGAAAGTTTACATGATAAATTAACAGGAATAGATTGAAATTTAAAAAAACTACTTTTTAGTGCAAAAAATTATTTTAAAACCTTTTTTTTTTTAAAAATAATTCTTGAGTAGCTTTTTTAGAGTTTCCTCTATAATTTATCACATTTCCCAAAAAGATATATTCTTTGATTTCATCTAATGGAATATTTATAAAAGATAATTTAGGTAAAATAGATAAGTATGTATTTTGAAAACAATTTTTGTATTTTTTCGTGTTGAAAGTTAATTGCAATTTGTAGCAATAATTTTCAAGCTTCAATAAAGCATTCTGAAGTCCTGTTTCTTAACTACGTAACACAAGATTATGAAATCATCAATAAAACTTAGGCTGGATATTTTTTAATCATTCAGCACTAATGAATGACAAATATCTGATGTAAATCATTTATATAACAATTGAAAATTGTGGTACTAAGACTATCTCCTTGTTTAACCCCTCTGATTAGAATGAAATAGACTTTATCTTCTAATTTCAATTCTGATTTAGTTTATTTGTACACATTACTGATCAAATCAAATAATTTCTTTCCGAGTCCGTTTTCAATTAGCTTATATTTTAGACCATTGTGCAACAAAGAATTAAACGCTTTGCGTAAATCTACATTACAAGGAAATATTTTTTAACACTGTAATTTAGCATTTATGATTTTAGAATAAATATGCTATCTGTTGTTCTGTGTTCTTGTGTTCAAAATATAATTTAGAATTTATGATTTTAGAATAAATATACTATCTGTTGGTCTGTGTTCTTTCCCGAAACCGAATTGTTGATTAGCAAAATATATTTCATAATTCAGTGTAAGTCTGTTATCTGTCACTGAACTAAATGGTTTAGCAATACAATTTTGAAGAGATATTCCTCCATAATTATTGAGATCAGTGTGGCCTTCCTGATTTTGAACTATAACTGTAAATGAATTCCTCCACGGAGATGGGTATTTGCCAGTCAGCAATATCAGCTTAAATGATTTATGTGTCGATTTACATGTTAACATGTTACTATATTTTATTATCTCCTATGTAATTTAATATAAGCAGATTATATCCCGTTCTGAACAACAGTGTTAATGTTCTTCCCATTAATTATTACTGTATATTAAATTAAGATTACTCATATTCACGGAAGAGAAACATTTAAAGTTTATTTTCACAATTTATCATAAGTGCCTTTCTTGTACTTAGACAGAAGAGTAATACTTCCGTTATTGCAAACGCCCATGGCACTGACAAAAATTAAAATTATGTCCGACAACTTACTTTGGTATCACTAAAAAGTTTGATTTCAGAATTATAATTCGTGAAGAAGGGCAAATGAGTGCTGTGGTTCCATGGAATTTTTGTTTGGACAATAATTACGATCGATTTTAATTTAAAAAAAAGTTTTTCCGTCACATTGACGTACACTGTATACTGCTCATTTCGCATCAGCACATTTGTAAACATTATAACATTATAAAGACTGTGTAACTTTCTCCACTTAATCGATATGTACACGTATATATAGTGTTTCTACGATCAAGAGATGAGGGGCTTACTTAGCTTATGTGGAATATGCCTTTATATATTTTTATTATCGTCTATAACAAATTATGAAAATTTTCCCCAGCAAGTTTGGCCAAAAAGTGTGAACTTGTCCAGGTAAAATTAAAATTTCAACAAATTAATAATTTTAAGAGAGTGTTCGTTGTTAAAGTTACGAAAAATTAGAGCCTAAAATCTTACCTCCCTCTCCCTGCTTTTACAGATTTAGAATCTTATTTTTACCCCAGCCTTAGCCTGCCTCATTGGATCATTGAACAAACTGAAAATAACACAAATTAACGATGCTTCAAATCAAAGCAGTAAATTTACTTTGTTAATATCTTTCATACCTGTAAATTCCTAAAGGAAATGTGGCCAATCTTTAACATGTACTTGGGTTGTCATTCGTTCGCATACACCTCTGTCAATAGCTATTAATGAGTACACATCGCTCTAAAAAAAATAGTGCACCGTTAACAAGGGATAGTTATTTGGATTTTTTTTGGATGCTTTTTTATTTCGAGTATATTGTACATTATTAAAAGAGGAGTTGTTAGAGTAAGTAGTCTTAAAACTTTTTAAAGGGGTTTTAGAAGTATTTTATAAAATGTGAGAAGTTGACAGAGGTGCATTTAAGTAAAAAGAACAAGAATTAAGAAAGGAGATTGATATGATTAGTGGTTTTATTTTGGCTTCTGCGAGCTACTCGTCATTGGTAATTTGATGAAAATTGCAATTCTACTGCTCTTGATAAACATTGATTTGTGATCGACTGTGGCCTAAGTCTCACGCTGTACGTGACGCATGGTTACATGTACCGGTACTACATATGTAGGCCACTCGGCACAACTCGGCCGAATCGTTCTTCATGGAGGCAATGCAATCGAAACTTCCCGGGCCTTTCCGACAAGCGGAAATGTTACATAGGCGTCCATGACAACCCCCCTTTTCTTAAACTTTGAAACAAATGTAGGGAGACCACTTATCTGTAGAGTTTGGAGCTCAACTTTATTGAATGTAAAGATATTATAGCAATAGGAGGCAATGAAATCATCTGAGATTTTGCTGAATGCATCCTCGGCATACGACAAATTAATATGTAACCAAATGCACGTACCTGACTTGTGTTCATGAGTTCTCAGAAATTTTTTTTCGTACCATTTAAGTTAAACTTATTGTGATATTAATGATTCATGGCTGTGCAAATGTGCGCAAGATTTGTTACTAAACTTCTGGCATTTTGGGGAAAAAAGTTGATTTGATAATGAGTGTTTCAAGAAAACTTCCTGATTGTTTGTTTAAGGGAAAAATTAACTCGCTCAGGGAGATTCAGACAAAGTAATTTTTTGCGCCATTTCTTACGACAATAAAGAAGTCAAGAAAGGGGTTAATAATAAACAACTGATTTTTATGCGTTCTGATGATTTTCTTTACAAGGAATATTTGGTTATTTACGAACATTTAAGCAACTCTCTGACACAGTCAGACTCAATGGTATAAAAGCCTAGTAGGGTCATAAAAGAGAAAACGAATTCGTCAATTTGAGCTAATGTCGTAATTTATTGAGATAAAATGTCATTATTAAGACCTCTTTGAAGTTATATTTATAAGATGGTCGTTATTACAAGTTTTTACAGTCGTAATTCAGAGTTAAAGTCCTTATTACTGATACGATATCATGATTTATTATAAGAAAGTAAATTACGAGACAAAAAGTCGCTATGAAGACTTTCGAAGTTTTTATAACTAGGTTTAAAATAAATAATTATCCGAGGTAAAAAGTTGTTATTATGACTTTTTGAAGTCGTAATTACGAGATAAAGTCATTATATTTACAGTATAAAAAGTCGCTGCTTCGAATTTCTGAGGTCTTACATGTAAAGTCAGACGACACGTTCATCAATAATCAGATTTATCCCTAAAAGATAAATACAGTTATTGAGAATGACGCTTATTGCTTTCTATTTTGAAATTACGTATTGCTTACAAAGAGCAACCCGTTTTCCGGAATTATATGGTCCTATCATGACGATTCTATGGTTAATAATACATCAGCATTAATGAGCATGCGCTAGGTCTTTTCAACTCCCCATCTTGTTCAGAGCAGACGAAATCATCGGTGTTCAAAAATAAATCAAGTATCATCGGTTAAGTATTGTATCAATCGAAGAAATTTAAGTATGAAAATCGCATAAGACGAACATATTAATTCATATTTAAGGAATTTGTTTAAAATTTATTGACTTATTTG